TAATATCTTTTACCATACGGATTCAAGGGATGAAGAACCTCAACCCTGAATGGTTGGCCTGAAATATCAGAGGAGCTTGATTTTTCAACTAAATGTGGATTTTTCATATTTTGACGACCACTTTGATTCAGACGAGGTCATTGAGTAGCTCCAAACCGTGGAGCTTGTCTTTGAGTACCAGGAAGTCCCACTGACCATACTGATAAAACTAGCTATCAGCAAGTTGAAGATTGTGTCATTTTGGTGAAAAAATTTGAAGCACTTACGCCAATGTAAGGTAAAAAACAAGATCACTACCTTGTCCAAAATGAAATGGGAGTTGTAGCGTCATTACCTACTAGTTCATTAGTCACTGGATGTTTAGACCCTAGCTTAAAAAATGGAGAGACAACATCACTAGATGACCACCATACCTTATAGACAAAGTTCTATCCCAGGATCGAGCGACAAGATTATGCTTAGGGAAACTTCAAAGCCCTCGCTCAAGGAGAAATTAATTTCAAGTATAGAACATGTAATGTCAACCAGCTTTATTATATGTCTCTGCCAGAAAGTGTGTCAAGTGTCACTGTTTTGGGCACAGTGCAGTAGACTGCTCGAACAAAGAGTATATTATATTTCACTGAGTTGAGAGTTGTTGAAGAAATTGATAATGACACAGTAAACCCTAAAGAATGTGAGGACATAAAAGAGTGCCAGATTCCAACGGATGTGACGCAGGCGTCCAATGCCCTACACAACAACTGTCGCGACTTCTTTAGCCTCGGACTAATCCTTCCAGGCATTGACTTTCCTTTTATTTGGAGCGGGGTCTACTCCTCTTTACTATAGGTCTATAAGTATATTGTTTTCATGTTTTAGGTAAGGTTTTGATTTTGTTTTTGTCAGGACAGCCGTCGCTGTCCCTTTCTACCCTTCTAGGGCCATTTCCAAGGCGAGTGGTGCTCCGTTGTATCTCGTTCCCAAGTGGTGATTTGCTCCCAAGGGTCGAGTGGTTCTCCGATTGTATTTCGTTCTTGATGAAGTATTTATGTTTGACTTTCCCATCTTCCACATCCATTCTTTACTGCCGCAACACCCCTCTCTCACTGCAACCCTTTTCCGAATAGCGACAGTTGTTGCCGTCCCTGTAACCGCCTTCATCCCAATAGTTGGTTTCCTTCTTCCATCTTCAATCTTGCACCATCAACTACACCTTTAACCTGTTGTTCCCTTTTCTGTCAACCCCTAACCTCAGCCTCCACCTCCCCTTTACCTCTCCCAACCTATTATCATCCTGCAGCCCCTTGCCTCCAGTCATCGTCTCCTCCACAAATTGCAACCTTGTCGGCATCCTGCTGCCACCACCAAATCCAAACAACCACCTCCACCCTTTTCAGATACTAACTTAGTTGGCATGTGTTGTGCTATGTTATTATTTCCTATTTCAGCTGATTGTTTATAAATTTCTATTTAAATTTTAGCAATGATATTATTGTTTCTTTTGTTGTTTGGGTTAACTTTGATGTCATTGGTTGATGAGGGAGAAAAAGGCGCAGTTTAAGTTTGCATTTGTCCAAGATAGTCCCAAGTCTGAGGAACCGATATCATATACATGACAATCCCAGATAAGTGAAATCAAACTTTTTAGATATATATGCTAGAGATAAGACTCTTTTGTCCCACTTTTTGAAGACTATATAGAGTCATTTGAGTATTAAAATCAGTTGAACAGTGTATTCACTGACAACTGATTAAACAAGATGGATAAACCACAACGTTCAACGTTGGAAATTGCCTTAAGAATTTTAGGGGAAAGATTATTCTACTGTGGGATCCAGATAATTTTAGAGAAGAAGAAAATGCTTCTCATGAGTGATTACACTTCAAGTGTGGTCAGCTTGTCGCAGATTTTTAGTCCAGAGTTAGTTCCTCTAGGTGAATTTATTTATCAGATGCGTCCTGCCAAGTATAAGGAGGTGAAAGAAGCAAAATACATGTTTCATGGCTCGAGAGTTATATTGTGGAAATCTACGTCTATATGCAGCTTCAGCTCTTGTCATGTCAAAAGATGTTGAATAGTTATTCTATAAGGTATGCTTTGGAATAACTTACAGGAGTGACTTATCGGGAAGTTACAGTAACACCACCACTTTCAACGTAGCTAACTTGACACCATATCATGAGAAGTCAGAAGTTTTGACATGTAAAGTTAAAGCTCCCCTTAACCACAAGAGACTGATGCAGGAGCCTGGGTGCGAGAAGTCATGAATGCAAGATCCAGGATGATGTTGGATGTCACTAGCTTGGGAGACCTTCCGCATTCTGGAACAACTAGACCGAGCTGGTCCAATCTTGGAAGAGTTGACCGGCTCTTCCACAAGGAATTGACGGCCCATTCCACATAGGGACCGAATCCTTATTATTTAGAGCTTATATATATATATATGTTTTGTTTCTATTTTTTAGTTTTTGTTTGTGTTTTTGCCAGAACAACCATCAACATCCTTTCTTTTCACTTCCAGGATTGTATCCAAGGGCAAGTGGTGCTCCTGTTGTATATCATTCCGAGATGGCGATTCTCCTTCAAGGGCCGAGTTGTGCTCCGACTGTATCTCTATCGAGGTGGTTTGTATCCTTCCACAACTCCTCTGCATCCCTTCCACTTTACTGCCATGCATCCCTCATTGCACGAGCCCCGACAACCACATCCCGCATGTGTTCCTACAGTTTCTGCTCTCCTAACTGCCCTTCTTTGCTGTAAGTTTCCTAGAATGCTTCCTTCTGCGTTTTTGATGCTGTTCCAGCTCCAGAATCATTTGTGTTGCTATTCCAACCACTTAGAACCACTCTGCTAGCCGCCTCCTTGCTGCGAACCACTCGAAATCATTCCTCTGACACCGTTGTTGTTGTCCTAGCCACCCTGAACCATCCTCCTTGCCGGCTCCTTGCTGTCAGCCGCTCAGAATCATTATTCCTGCAGCCTGTGATAGCCACCAAAATCCTCCTCGCGGCTGTTTCAGCCACTATGGATCACCTTTAATCGTTGTTCCTCTACTGTCTAACCCACCTACCACCTTGCCACCACCTTTCTAAGCCCCTAAAAGTCACCACTACCTCTCTAGATCTGTTTTAGTCATGTGTCGTCTGGCGCGTCTGTTGCTATTTTCCGTTTTTGTGGTGTTCATTGTAACACCTATTGACTTTTGCAGTAATAACATTTGTTTACTTATTGTTGTTTTGGGTTAACTTCAGTATCAGCTATTCACACATTCGGCACCACCCCCCCCTCCAGATTGGATTAAGGTAAACATCGATGGGACTTCTCTCTTCTAACATTGTGACCATTGGAATTATCATCTGTGATGAGATGGGGCTATTGATTATGGCTTTCGGCCATAAATTCATTCATTTGGATAGCACCCAGGTGGAAAAGATAGCAGTTTTATCCCTCCACAAAATCATTGAAGATTGGATGATTGAAGGCAACAGAATTGTCATTGAGGCAGACAACTCTAACGTTATGGATTTCTTCAGGCGTACCATGGATAAGAAGATGCGGTAACACAATGCTCCCGATAATACAAAAATTAGTTTTTTGCTTCAGTACAAGCAAGTTTTGTTTCAACATACCAATAGAGAAAGCAACATGGCAGCCCACACTTATGCAAATTTGGCTTTGGATAGTGATTTTCTTTTGACACATGTAAATATTTCCCATTCTCTCTTTTTGGTTTTATAAGAGGATAATGTTCATATTGTACATGCCTAACCGACCTAGTTTTTTGGTTGTTTTGGGTACTTCTTGTAACCGTTTTTCCACTTTAATGCAAAATGCAATATTTCAAGGTAGCAGTGGATCCGTCAGTTGACCTATGATAGTAGAATCATTGAATTTTGGTCGGGTTAACCATCCTCTTCTCTCATTCGACTAAATGCTAAGAAATTTTGACATAAAGTGCAATTAATACCTTTAATTGATTGTGTTTTTTACTCGTAGGCGGTGATATAATTAATTATAGACACTTACATGGGAAACTACTATTCCTCATGATCTAAATTATGCCAGACAACAAGCTAGGGGAAATATTTGGGAAATATTTAAAATTTTTCCCCTGAAATTACACAATCCTCTTGGTGAAACTTAAAAAAACATGAAAAAATTCAACGAACATGTTAGCCTTAAGGAGCCCAATAGATGTCTATGCATGGTCGATTTGAGTCATTGACTCACCGTCTTTCCTAATGAAGAGAATGGATAGATAATTCCATATCTGTTTTTTTTCAAAGCACTATGTGCAAGGATATATTATGCTACTTTACAGGCAAGGAACTAATCAAAATAATTCCGAACGAGTGATGGTGCTACTTGTGCATGAACTAATGATATGTAGGAATTTACCTTATTTTTGTTTGTAGACTAGTATTATTTTATTTTAGTTTGCTTTCCTTATGAGTGCTAATTTTCTTACCAAAGTATCAATGGGTGATTGGTGCGCAGAGATTTCTCAAGGCCCCTTGTGGGATCCCGTTTTTTATTTATTTTTATTTCATGTTCTTATTTTATTTTGTTTTTGTTTTGTTTTGAATTAAAACATGCTTGGTAGTGGTTGTTGTTTTTAAGAACACTCAAATTGCCTTTTATAAAAAACAAATCACCTTATTTTAAAAAAAACAAAAGATAAAAAAACATAGAAAATTTATTCTAACTAAACATTTTTTTTTAAAAAAAAGTAAAAACGAAAACAAAAGTGATGCCAAACGAGCTCTAAGATTTTCCTTCTCTATTGGAAAATTGTAGACTACTTGATCTAAACTTTCAGATTCTGCTTTATTTTTTTCTCATGCTAATTGTATATTCATGAATTTATACTGGTGATGTTAATGATTTTCATTTTCAAATAAGTTCTTAAATGAAGTTTGAACTGTTTATGATGGAATCCAAAATTTATTGATTCAGAATGCATTTAGATGAAATTTTGGTTTATGAATTTTATGATATGAACTTTTCCTTTTGGCAGTTAAACTATCATAAAATTTCTGTCCACCAGTCATATATAAACGTAATTTTCACAGAATTTAAGTTAATGGTCATTCTTGAAGAATTATTACCAGCACTATATTAAGCACATATTAATCTTGGAGAGATGGATAAGACGAAGCTGGCAGCTTTTGGAGAACGTTTGAAGATTGGAGGTGAACGCCTGAAGGTTGGGGGCGCCGAAATGGGAAGAAAGTTTAGCGGAAAAATGAAAGAGATTCTTCAAGGCCAGTCTCAAGAGGCAAAAATGGTTGAGGATGCTACATCAGAGGGTTTGGAAGAACCAAACTGGGGTCTTAATCTGAGGATCTGCAATTTGATTAACAGTGAGGAGTTTGATGGTTCTGAAGTGGTGAGGACAATAAAGAAGAAGATCTCTGGCAAGAGTCCCATTGCTCAACGACTGAGTCTTGAACTGCTGGAGGCCTGTGCAATGAACTGTGAGAAGGTCTTTTCAGAAGTGGCTTCTGAGAAAGTTCTAGAAGAAATGGTAAAGATGATTGACAATCCGCAGACGCAATATGCTAATGAGCAGAAAGCTTTGCAATTGATAGAGGCATGGGGCAAATCAGATGATCTCAGTTATCTACCTGTCTTCAAACAGACTTATTTGGTATATCTTCAATGTCATCATTTGCTTTTCTAAGCTAATTTTATTTTCTATTGATTTTAATTGTGTTCATTTGTGAAGCTTTAATTTAGCATATTTTTAAAATTTTCTTTTTATTTTGTTTTTTAGAACGTTTCAACATGTGTGTCTTGCTTTATTCAGTTCTCTTTTCCATTTGGCATTCAAGGGGACCTGATAGCTGGAGTTTTATACAAATCTTCAATATCTAGTTTAATTTGCTTATTTAAGACATTTTGTTTTACCTTTTAATCGTTCTTAGAAATACTAGATGAATGATCAAAATTTTTTAAAAACATATAAAAAAAATCATGTATTCCACTCTCTCATGGATGACGTTTATGTTAGATCTGAAGGGCTTATTTTGGAAATTGTGGAGGAGAATGTATCGTCTCTCATAGGAAGATAGGGGTTTCTATATCACTATCCATATATTTATTATTTTCATTATGATAACATGAAAACATTTTATCATATGGGAAGAGAATTGATATTCTCCTCTAATTACAATTTATCTATTAGGGCATTCAAATATAAGCTTCAGATCTTTATCATCTTTGACAATATCAAAATTCTCAACAGACAAAGTTTCCATGCATTTTTACAATCATTTGCTTGAACATTGTAAATGTGTAGTTTTTCAATGAATGGTTTTAATTGCTTGATAAGAGATTTGTTATTTTCATGTCATAAAATGTTTCAAGTGACCTCAAATTCAATGCATGTTATTTTTGATATTTAAGGCATATTTAATGATATTTTTATTGGTAAGATACATGAAAAAATTGCATTTTTATATGGGGGGCTTTAGAATACTTTTGATTGTTTCTCGATCAATGATGAAATCTCTATTAAAGTCAATGAGTACTAGATCCATAATGTATTTTTCATTATGTTTATCATTATGATTGGTGTGACACCTTATGTGAGTACCGTTGGAGGAAGTAGTTGAGAACTAAGTTGAGTGATGGAGAAAATCCAATCTCTTGGGTGGAGGAGAAAATCAATCTCTATGTGTACAAGTTTAATTATTAATGAATCTTCATACTCATACTCCATTTATTCCTATTTAGTGTTGTATGAGTGTTAACTATATTTTGCATTTTTCCTTTTGCACAAGTTGTAACCATATTACCTTTAGTCTACTTATTTTCCATTTTAATCCTCCCAATTAATTTTTTTAGCCATCTCATGTAAATATGGTTTGTTTTTAAATCAATTATATTTTTTGGTCTTCAAACGTGAAATCATATTTCATATTTTTTACAACCTAAAAAATTACTTTTGAGTTGGTTTTCTTTAGTTGTCTTCATTTTATTTTTACTCCCTGTGACATCTGTTTATAAATTTCTACGTTGCCTGCCTACTTATGCTTGGACGTATTTTCTTATAATATTTTAGAGGCCTTCATGCATTCAGAATCTTATACCCCGCTTTGGATTCATTAATTAGGCTTACATTCTGATGTACATGGTGGTAATGATTTCTATTAAACGTTCCAAAAACTTCAGAAACCTATCTTTTGCTTGAGGGAAATTCTATCGTAGTTCCTTATGTCTGTTATTGTTGATTTAGTGTTTAAAATAGTGTTTCTGGTTTACTTTATGACCACTTTGAACTTTTTTTTTTTCTTGAATTCAAAGACTTGTAGGAGCATTTTACTTGGCTCTTTTTTTTGCTGTCAATTGTGTATGTTTAGCTTCCCATTCAGCTTGTTGAGCATTTAAGGAACTTTCTTTCATTTCATTTATGTTCCATTCTTTGGCGCTTTAGGCATAAGGAGCAAATTTCAGTTCTGTATTTTGTTTAATTTTTTACTCTTGGTAGATAATTTTTCACTCCCACATTAAACATCTCATCAGTTTTTATGAGATTTTTTCCATGTATGATTGACTATTGTTGCTCTATGAAAACGCTGATAGAGAAAAAATTAAAAGCAACCAATTTTAATCCAGGTTATAAAAAATGTTGTTTCCTATAAAGAAGTAAACCTATTTGACATTTTCTTCCGGTTTTTTATCGAGGAATGGTTTTTTCAGAACTTGAAGTCTCGGGAAATACCTAATGAGCAGGCAGATGGAAGTTCTGCTCAATTATTTTCTTCTCTTGAGGATGATTTTGAAGAGCATGAATCTCTTCCTCGGGGTTATCCTCTTCCCAGTTCTGGTCTGCAGACTACGGTTGTGGGCTCTGTCCCTTTGCAGGGGGTGTCAATCTCAAATGAAGAAAAAAAGGAATTACTTACGATTACTAGAAATAGCCTTGAGATAATCTCTTCTCTGTTGAGCTCTGAGACAAAGGAAAAGCCTACAAAGGTATTCATATTGATATCTTGGTTTATTTTCTGATCATTCATCACAGCGTAATTAATGATAGTTGTTTGCTCTAGTCTGTTTCTATATATTGTCTTTTTTTCGATTAAGCTAAGAAACCTTTTATCCTTATTGGAATTAGGCAATTTATTTGGGGAAACAAAAGGACAGTGACGTAGGAAAACTAGTCGCAGAGAGAGAACGAACATTATGGAAATTGCTGTGAACTTTGAAATTTTGATTTGTTTGGGAAGAGAAGAGTCGGTGTAGATGAAGAACTAGAGAGGTAAAGAGAAGAGGTGATTGAGAATATTCATAGGATAAATGCTTCCAGGGAAGGATAGTGGAAGGTAGAGAGAGAAGAAGCACGAAGAAGGTGCACAGGTAAAAGTCGGAGGACAAACTCAAGAAAGAATGTCGAAACAAATGTCATTTCTTCATTCATTTGTAAACCATCTTTACTTGTATCCAAAGGTTTACTATTAATCATGGACTTTTTTTATTTTCATGTATTGTGATCCTTCTTTTTTTATTTTCATGTAAAGGGAAATCAAGCATTGATCTATTTTATGAAAAATAAAAACAAGAAAATAAGATATTACCAAATCTACTAGTATAAAATATAATTGGCTTATTAACAAAAGTAATATAAATCAAATACATCTCAATTAACTCCCACAACTCCAAGGAAGTGTCAAAAAAGCGATGTGAAAGATTAAAAACATTTTTATTTGTTGAAAATAATAATAAAAGCAATGGGTTGGGGTGAAAGCACATTGAAATTTAAAATATTAAATTTTAATATAAAATAAAATATGTTAGTTAAATAAAGACATAAATTGCCATAGTAAATAAGTACGATAGAGAAAGAGATAACAACACCAAGTATAAAGCATCCTATGGATAATAAAAGCTTATAAATAATGTAACTATAAAGGATAAAGTAAGAAATAATGTATTGATATTCTAACTTATTAACACATTAAAAACATCATAATAATATTATGATTCAGTAAAAAATAATAAATTGCGTAAAATTAGAAGTAACACATAATATCAATGCATCAAATTATGAAATAAGCTGAGTTGTACAAACATTAAACTATCGAAGTAAGCAAATATATTAAAATAAAATATTAAAATATCAAAAAATAACAATCAAATTAAATTTAATATAAATATTTCTCTCCTACTCATGCTACCTCGCACTTAAATAAGAATATAAAAAACCATCAGTATTTGAATTTTTAAAATTAAAAGTTCATATTACATTCATACCCAAATAATTTTTATTAGAATTAATGGGATAATGAATTATTTATCTTGTCATTTATCTTTAGTTGTATCTATATTATCTAATTTCTCATTATCTTTAATCACAATTATCTTCTATTTTTAAATGAATAAATATCAATAAAAATTTTAATTAAAATAATTACTATGATAATAGGTAGAACTTCAATCACAAAAATTTTATGGATATCTTTTCGTTTTATCCTTTATTATTTTGTGTGTGAGGTGTGAGGGTTAATAGGAGGTATATTGATAGTAATTGATATTATTTTTAGTTTTATTAAAAAGAATTTACGGGTTGCCTAAAAAATTTTAGGCTTTTTTAAGGCGAGGCGCGTCTCGTGTCTCCGCCTGAGAGAGGCGTATGCCTCACTTTGGGACAATTAGATGTAAGCCTGAATTATTTTATAAAAATATTGAAGCGGAACTTAAGGTGTGTCTCATATTGTGCAATCTTAAACAAGGATCCGAGATTGTGTCCTTGGCAAAATTCATTTTCTTAAGATCGAGAGATTTTCTTTGAAATAAAGAAATGAAGAAGCATCGAGGAAAATTATGTTGCATAGCAAGGGAAGTATCTCTTAACCCTAACATTAAAAACTCGGCCTTGGTATCCAAACTTCTTGACTTCAAAAGTGGCAATAGAATAGTCATGATGTGAACACTATGAATAGAATAGTCATGATGTGAGCACTAAAAAAAATCATGGGATATAAAGGAGTCCTGTTAAAATTTACACAATAAACCTGCAAATTGAAAGTCTAAGTCCAAATGTGATGGGCGAGCCTACCGAATTTTTATTGGAGATTCTCAAGACCTTTCTCTCAAATCATAGATAGTCCCTTTGATTGAGGATCAAGTAGAACACTCGTACAAGTTATTTCAATATTTATAATTATTTATATGCTCATCCCACTCCTTTTAATTAGAAGGATAATTTTCTAACCATTGCATACTCAAGTGTCAATTCTAATTTATTTTACTGATAAATCTTTGACTTGAGTGCAACATTTCATCGGGTAGGTCGCTTTTAGCGGTTCTTTTATATTTGTCTTGTTAGCATTAAAAATTTTGAGCTTACCATCATCTTGCTATTCTTGTTGAGATAGGAATGTTCAAACTCACTATTTTGTTAACTCTTATGCTATTTTTCATGCTCTCAAGTTGTATTGCAATTTATTATACATCAGTAAGATCACCTCTAATCATCACTGTAAGCTAATTTTTATTCTTCTCATGATGATTTTTGAGAATCGATCTTGGGGAGAATGATTGGCATTGCTAGGGAAAATGAATGACTCTACTATTTTGAAGATAATTTATTTTTGAATAGACTATATCAACATATTTGTTTAATGTTTGACTCTAACAAAATAGATATTATGCTATGGTATTATGTTTTAGGTCGTATCAATTTTTAGTATTGAAAGTATTTGTTTTCAAATCTATTTCAGGATAAAAGCCTATTTTTTCTAAGTGGAAGTGTTTCGATGTGCCAAATAAGATGTGTATTTTACATTCCTTAATCTTATAATATCACTGTCATTTATAGTGACATTTGGAGACCTTGCTGGACATCTACTCTCGTAAAAAATGGTTTGTTATTTTTATTAGATCAAACCAGATTGAGTTGGGTTTAACTAAAAAAAGAAAACTTTAAAGTAGAAAAAAAATTTAAATATTTTTACAGCATTGCATAAATATAATCCCAAAAAAAAATCAAAAGTTTACAATGATAATTTAATCGTCAGTATTTCATAAATTGTTTGAGCTAAATCTTTATTGAAGGAATTGTTCACCAATTTGGTGTATCTATACCCCATAACAAAATGATAGTTAAAAGAGAAAATAAACATCTATTGGAGGTTTTTGAGACTTTACTCTTTACAAATAAGTTACCTAAACACTTTTGGGAGGAATTAATTCTTACTTCCACATATCTAGTAAATTTGATCTCCAATAGAATTTTTAATTTTGAAGCTGCATTTGATATGTTTTATTAAGTTTACCCTTCACATTGACTCTTGTCCAAATTACCCCTAATTACTTTTTATTCTATTGATTTTTTTCACATCCACCATCCTCATATGTTGCTTTCAACATTATGGATGAGATGACTAATGTTGATCTTATGGTTTCTCTAACAAGAATGTATGAGAGGCCTTTGGTTTCTAACAATTTTTTTTAATGGAGTGGTTATTCAATATGAAGATAGTGGATGAAAGTTAAGTTGTTGAACACTTGAATAACTTCAACACTGTGACAAATTAATTTTCTGTTGGCATTAAGTTTGGTGAAAAGATTAAGGCGTTGTTACTCTTATCTTTATTGCCAAATAATTTGGATGAATTTGTTGTTGCAGTGAATAATTCTTCAGAAAATATAAATTTGGATTTTAATGATATTGTGTGATTATTGTTGAATGAAAAAAGTTAACAAGAAGATAAGCATGAAACTTCAAATTATGCTTTGAATGTTGAAACTAGAGGAAGAAATCTAAATAGAAACACAATCAGAGAAAGTTACAAGTCCATGAGAGAGAAGTTCAGATTAGGGAGAGAAAATGATACGTGAATGTTGGAAATGCAAGAAGAATATCACTTTAAGAGAGACTGGAAAGTTTCGAAGAATCTTGATGGTGTAGGTCCATATTAAAAATTTTCTACAAATATCGCCACAAATGAAATCCAAATTAACTCTTTTATTTTATTTCTAGATAATACTGAATCATGGATTGTAGATTCAATTGTTTCTTTTCATGCTAGACCCAACAAAGAGGTTTTTAAAAACTACACTTAAGGTGATTTAGAGACTGTGTATTTGGGAGATAATATAGTATGTAGTATTATGGGAAAGGATGATGTTGATATCAAGTTATCAAATGAATCAATCTGGAAACTAAATGAAGTTAGACATGTACCATGTATGAAGATAAAGTTGATTTCTATGAGTCAGCTTGCAAGGTCGGGATATGTGACTGTTTTTCTAGGAGATTCGTAGAAGGTGACTAAAGATGCAATGATGACGGCTCGAGACAACATTAAAGAGACCTTTTATCTGATTAATGTGATGTATGAATCAATTAAAGTTACTGCAACAAGGGATGATGTAGGTCTCTGACACTGCAGACTGGGTCATATGAGAGAAAAATATGAAATTTCTCCTTTTTAAAAACAAACTTCATGTCATCAAGTCCATGGATTTAAATTTTTGTGAAAGTAGTGTTTATGACAAACAACAAAACAATATTTATTTTAAAAGTGGGTAAGTTGAAGTCTAAAAGTTTGAGTTAGTGCATATTGATGTATGGGGTCCTCCTCCAGTTCAATCTATTGAGGGTTCTCTATATTTTGTCACTTTTATTGATGATCACATTAGTAGGGTATGAATGTATTTCTGAAAACATAAATATGATATTTTTGACGTGTTTAAGAAGTGGAAAGGAATTGTTGAGAATAAGACAGATTGAGATTGAAGTGTTTTACTATTTTGTTTCATAATTTATCAGACACGAGTTTAGCATTCCAATTACATCACAGCAAAATGATGTTGAGCGCATGAATAGAACTATCATAGTGTGTCGGGAGTATAAAGTTGCATGTTGGCTTGCCAAAGTAGTTTTAGGCAAAAGAAACAAACACTACAGCCTATCTATTCAAGCATGGTCCATCAATACATTTGAATGAATGCTTACCTGAAGAAGTTTAGAG